ATTCGGAAAGCTTTCTCATGTTTGTATTTGTTAGGTTAATAAATCTGCATACTCAAATAAAATTGTAAAAAAAATATTTTTTTTTTGCCAATTTTTGACCAGTTTAACCCCTAAAAAAAAATATATAAACAAATTAAACATTTTTTTTCTGCCAGAGATGGTTTGATCGATTTGCCTGTCGATGCTGATCAAGAATATATATGATTTATGGGGGCGGAAATGACTCCTTCTCAACGTTTTAAGCTTCTGACTAAAATTATAATACCATGAAAAGGTATTCAAATGAATAAGTTAAGTGACATTAAAATATAAATATATTCTATTGATTTCATGATTAAACTCAAGAACCATGATCTTTATGTGTCATATTATAAAATTCTAATGCTTATGATGATTATTTACAACTTGTAATTATTGTAAAATGAGTTTAAAACGTAAACAAAATTATATTGAATATTAAAAAACAAAAACGCTACCTAACTTTAATTATTTTTTAATCTTAATGCGGATTAATATTATAGATACATTAGAGCTTGGCTAAAGATATATTTAAGTATTTCAATCCTTAAATAATGACCATTATTCCGACACATTTCTCAGTGTGTAGCATTACCCGTTGAGTGGAGCACGCACTGATTGCCAGTGAAATGCATGTGAAATTAACCTCGTGCGCTGCTCGGTTTAATTTGCACTCGATGGCTGGCAGTGGAAAGCGGAAAAAGAAAAAGAAAAAAAACTAGTGCATTGGCGCTGCATGCCAATGGAGGCGACACGCCGGCGTCCCAAATGTAATTTTCCCTTTTGCTCATTTGCTGCCTGACTGGCTGATGGCTGATGGCGTACGACGAAGACTTGGCCAAGGCTCCCGATCCCGTTACCAAGCCCGATTCCACCCTATCCTTTCACCTCTCCGTCACTCACTCACTCATTCGTTCACCCGCTCACTTGGCCACACGTCAAGTTGCGTAGTTGGAGGACGGAAAGTGTTGAGTAAGTTGTCAAATGGTCTGTGATGGGTGATGGAACGGGCGGAAAGGGATCTGACTAATAATTACGGAAGGGAGTGCACTCTATCTGAGATGGGTGCTGGGAAAACGCAGGTGGTGCATCAAAGATGACAGAACAGGAGTGCTTTACACAAAGGGATATGCAATGACACCTTAGACTTAAAAAAGGATTAATGTATTCATAAATAATTAAAATTAAGAGAAAAAATTTTTTAGCGAGCTAATAAAGCTTAAAAATTTTTTATTTAAGCTATAAATACTTAAAATAATTAACTAAACCACACATACATTTTTATTTCAACAGTACCCTCATAAGTATGCTACGAATTTTGTAATGGCAACAAGAACATGCATCCTACACGAACCTAACTTAGTACAAGGTTAAAAATACCAAAAAACCCTCATCAATATTGTTTTAAATTCATTAAAAGTTGACATGGATTTGAAATGGATTTACCAGCACTCAATTACCATTGAGAACACATCTGCAAACAGCGATAAGCCGCTTAACTGGCAATACTTTTCTCACAATTTATGGCTCGACTGCGTCGCGAACACACACACACACATAAAAGTGCGGTTCGGTTATAATGAATGCTTAATAAGCATTTGTCGTATACATAAGCAATGTCCATTAAAATTAATTTCATTTGCTATGCAATTTACAATTCATCTTCGTTATAAAACGCAGCCAGGCAGGGAATTTCGCGGCACTTATCCTGGGCCCCAGACTCCAGACCCAAAACCAAACACAAACTCAAACCCAGAGCCAACCACTTGCCACAGACGCATAAGTACTGGGACTCTACATAAACTATTCATTTCAGTTCAATAACAAAGCTAATGCCGAGGCCCGAAGCTGCCCATATGTGTTCATTCCATTGCGTTATTCGCCGCATTAACGAAATCAACATTTAAATTGCAAATTGTGTGTATTTTGATTGAAAAATGCCGCCACCGTCGAACGATGCGTTGACGACCATCCCAGCTCACAGATAGAGAGAAAGCGATATAACAATGGGCCGATTCTGGTCGGGTTTGGGTTTTGTTTTATAGTCCTGCCGGTGGTACACATTACTTGAACTCGTTGGCAGCTGCTGTCTTCACACATCCCCGCCCGCATGTAATTTGCTGCTCTTTTATGCAATGAAAAAATAGCGCACAACAACGAAAATTTCATGCGCATTAATGTGCGACATTTGAGATATGCGTTGGCCAGGATGAGCTCGAAACTGGGCTTGATTTTCGTATTCGTATTGGATTTTTATACCCGGTTAATATATAGGGAACAAGGGTATTAAGAGTTAACTGAAAGCAGGCAAAAGGGACATGTTGCTAGTATAAAATTCGTATAGATTTTTATGCAAAATTCAACAGCTATGTCTCAAAATTGAAGTTCAATTGGATGATAACCTTGGTAGTTATAAAACTATAAAGTTGTAGTGAATGATGATCAACTGCAACATTAAGAAGTTGTTAGTAATTCATGACAGTTGCTCAACATATTTCTAGCAACATTTGTTTACCAACATTTTCTTGTGCTTTTAGCCATATTAGATTTGAAATTTTCTGTAAAAATTTTACTAAATAAATCTGTGTTTTCATATGCTTCCATCAGGATATAACATTTATAATATTAACGCCTAAATAACTACCTTAGAAAGCATTGTAAGAGGTATATCCTATTCGAATTACACTTTTTCCTACCCCTTTTTATTTTTCACTTCTCAACCAAAGTGCAATAAAAATGCAAAAGCGAATTCGAATTGATTGAACAGAATCGGACTGGACACAGGCATTCTCTTACATACTTACAGCCAGTCACGCACAATGGCCAAGAGAGAAAAGCAAGGCAACAGGAAAAAAAGAAAAAAGAAAACCAAGCCAAAAGGGGGAAAACGAGAAAATTATTCATTAACACATGCGTAAAATGCAAAGGGAACATTGCCATAAATAAATAATTGATAAATTGCAGATGAATTTTCATATTTAATGACGTTTAAGTGAGTGGAGCAGGAAGCGTAGTCCCTGCAAATTTCAGTTTTGTTCGCATCTGTGTGTGCAATAATATTATGTTAAAATATACGATTACAATTCGGTTGCCTTTGCCTCTTTTTTACGACTCGAGAGAGTGGCGTGTGTGTCCCCAGCAAAAGGCAGCGATGTCGCACAAGAGTGCGTATGAAAATTGATTGTTGCCTTATTTATGGCCTCGCACTCGCAAAGTAGACATAAAAATTAAGACAAACATAAAATGCAATCATGCAGCTCGGTCTGGATAAAAATCTACTGACTATAGGCAAGTCCTTCAAGCAACCCCCCTTTTGCGTTTTGTCCATTCGCCTGATTTGGTTTTACGTGCGTTGGGAAATGTCGCAAGGACCTGCTGCAGTGATGCCAAATGGTTTCGAAAAAATAAAATTAAGGTGGCAAAAGAAATACATCAAGTGTATTAGAAAACTAGCAATAAAGTTGGTATGCTTTTTCAAGCTGAAGTCGTATTTATTTGTCTTGAAATTTAACAACAGTGAAGTTAAAATATTTTACAAATGTTAAAAAATTCTCTTTTTCATTGAAAATTACGATATAAATATTATAAACTCAGTTTAGCTATATAATATGTATAAATATTACCAAAAAGCTCCACTTATTTGCCAACACTGTGTCTGTGTTCCCAAAAAAGGCGACATTTGAGGTCGCAACATGCCTCTGTGGGTCGTGTAATAAAACGCATAAAACTTTGCCTCTAACGAGCATCGTTTTTACGATCCTTCTGCCCCGACATTGAACAGGAAAAAGTCTGGAGATAGAGTGGATTCCGGTTCCCTTTGGTGACTCCCCAATTTCCCATATGCAAACCAAAATGGACGCTTAATGATTTGTTATATGTTGTGGGTTTTTATATACATGCCTTGAGTCTAAAGAGTTGTACATTAGTGGAAATACTTTAACTTAAACTCAAGAAATTTATGATAGTCAATCGATCATTTTCAAGATAATTAACTATAATTTATGGATTTTAGTGGGTATGTTAAACACTTAATACTCGATGTAAGCAGAGTAAGTCACTATTTTACAATTATTATTTCACCAAAAAAACAGAAACTTCAATGGTTCCAATTTCTTTATCATTTTTTAACAATGTGTTCATGCCATCCTGCTAGAGTACAGAGGGTTAATTAAGTTTTAAATTTGGTCAGAAACAAAGGAGCTCTATTGTTCCACTCAACTGAGATAATCTGAAAGCATCTGCAGTCACTTTAGCTCCTGGCAAATGCCTCGAATGACCCAACCGTTCCTGCAAAATATGTAATTAAACTTAATGAGTGTAAAATGCTTGTGTCCTGGCCTCGTCTCAGTCTCAGCATCAGCATCAGCATCAGCATCAGTCTCAGTCTTAGCTGCAGTCTCGGCTCGAATCAAATGCTGTCAAGCACATCAACTCATTCATTTGTCAATTAGTTGACAATGGGCCAACTTAAGCTTAACTGCTCCTGCCGACTAAAACCAAAGACCAGATCCCACCGCTTCAACAAATGCTGAACGTAATTGCATTTGAGATTTTGTGAAGTTCGGTCAAGAATTAACTTGGCCTCAGTGGTGCTTTGAGGCAGAGTCAAATTTTAGCAATTTCATATCGCTGATGAAATGCATTTCATTAATATTTATTTACCAGAGGTCCCTAATCCAGGACATGCAGGTGGAGCTTAGCTGGCACATTTCAGATTGTTGTTGCCACAGGCCACTTTTTGTGGCAAAGCAAAACTTAAATGTCTGTAAAACCAAATGAAAGGGCAAAATCACTGGATAATCGGGGATTTGTTTGCGAAAACTTGAATTCTTAAGCTGTTTGAAAAATTAATGATTGAAATGGATTGAAGTGCAAATAATTAAAATTTGATATGTAAATAAATATTGTTACCTTCGACCAAGTTGTGCATTTACTTTTTACAAGAGTAAATTACTTAAATAATTTTTACAAATACAAAAAAATACACTCTAGTATTCTTTAAGATCTATTTCAACTACATGTTTTATCTTCTTGTTTTGAAAAAATAAACATAAATTCGATTGTAACATAATGGCAACTCGATCAATTATAAGCCGAGAGATGGTACACATCCTGCCTTGTGAGAGAGACGATCGCATTACAATGCCCGATGTAATAGATGATTCCTTACCATTCCATGTAAATACTGAGTCAGAAACTGGAGGTGGTGACGAGGCAACTCAAGAGTCAAAATGTGAGCCTGAAACAGTAGTAGAGGAACCTGACTCTGAGGATTCTGTTAAGGGCGACAAAAAGTATGCCTGGAATGCACCTTGCATAATGATTATTTTCAAGGAAAGCGATCTCAATTCTGCGCTACATTATCTCATCGAATCGCTGCAGGATCCTTTTGCTTTGGATGCAGTCTCGGTTCTTCTGGTACAGGAGAGTCTTGTAGACGAACTTATAGGTCGTGTAGTGAGTCTAATGAAGCCTCTGGACTCCAGGGTGGCGAATCATCCCTGCTATAAGCACACTCTGCAAAAGCTGGTTGAACTGAAGGCAGAGGTGGTAGTGGGACCAGCTGAGAAAGTCCTGCCGGATGCCACGCCCATGTTAGTGCGGGATCTTCCCCATCGATACCTGGGCCAAGGACCCACTGGTATAATCACAATGCATGTCTTTCGCACACCCTATGATGCCACGCGGGTTTATCGAAAGGAATATCCAATGCCCTTTGCATCTGCAAGCATCTGGAGCGAAAGGATTTCGGGTCTATACGAAGTGATGGGTCTAATGGATATTGTTACCTTTCAGATTAACTGCTTCAATGTGAGCATGGAACCCATCAAGAAGGCCTTTGAATACCAACGAAATCATGTGACAATGCACAAGGGTTATCACTATGAAACGCTGATGGTTAATTACAGTCGAAAGATTGTCGTGTATCCGGTGGGAACTATATTTGGCAATTGAAACTTGTTTTGTGTTGTATATTCAATATATTAATTAACTATCAATATTTGGATGTATTTTAGTTAATCTTTATAACCTTGAACTAATAGGGAAAATAGGTTTTTTTAAGTTAACTCTTTAAACATTCGTATTCCCATGTTAAAGTTTCATTTTTAGCAATTCTAGGGTAACTCCTTGTTGATTTTAACTTTACTTACTTACAACTTTTCCCTAAATTAATGGGATGCCTTAACTATTAAGTGATTCCCCCTGAAATATTCAATCTGATTCAATCGTCGACGGCTTTCAACAACTATTTACAGACTTATCTACAACAAAACCATTTAAGAACATTCAACTCGCACTTTTTGCGCTAATCTAAATTAATGCCTCTCACCGCGGAATCGGAACACAGGTCCTATCATTCAATTAAAAAAAGGAAAAAATGGAAACGAGAAAAGCAATGGTAACGCGTACATGGAAAATGCGCGAAATAACCCGGGGATTTTCGCGTATTTCTCCCCTTTTTTTGTAAATTGTAAAGTGAAACGCACGGACGAAGAAATTTGCACCACCCTCCCGGATAGAGTAATGAAGTGTTTAGTTGATTATCTAAACGCACACGGCTCCGTATCCGGATCCGGACCCGGGAACCATCATGTGGATACCACCAACTAGTATTTGCAAAACAGAGGCCTGCAATTGCTTGGGTTTTTCGGTAGCGGTTCGAGTCTATAATGCGCCAAATAAACGGCTAACAAGTTGGTAATAAAAGAGCTCTAAAATTGCCTGAGGTTCGACCGATACCATGGAGCTACACTAGAAGAAATGGGTTTTAGAAAGTAAAATACTAAAGATTTAATGGATATTACAGTCAAGGTTTTACGAGTGTTTACAAGAAACAAATTTATAAAAAATTTAAGTACAAAGTATTCAAAGATATTGTCAAGAGCAAAGGCTGTTCTAAAAGAGAGCCACATCTTAAATATAATTGGGAATCCCCTATTCCATTCCATAGTCCTCTTGTATGCTTTAGATTTTATTTATATTTTTGTGGTTCATTGGTTAAAATCAAGTTCTCTGAGTGCACCTTTAGCACTTATTCACCTACACGCAACTGCAGGCAATGGCAGGTAACACAGGTCTGAAAGTTGCGAACAAAAGCACAGCTACTACCACTGTCTATATGTCTATCTATATATAGGCCCGATAAATGCCAGAGGGGCGTGGCACGCATTGTCTGCAGGTAAGCCTTTTTGCGGTGTTGTGCCACACTTTTTTGGCGCTGAACAACAAACGCAATGGATTTGCATTGATAACCGAAAATGTTTGGACTTGAAACGAGTTACGTTTCTGGCCTGGTTTCGTGTACAAAGACCATATTTCACCACTAAATCAAATAGACAACGGGCTTGAACACCTGCGGTCAATATAGTGTATGTAAAAAGAGACTTTAATCAACTACTTTTGTAAGGGGTTTTGTTTCTGAAACAATATAAATTATATGCTACTTTATTGTACTTTTAATTCAGAGTGTTTTGTATATTAAAATAAAATGTGATCCAACTTTGGGAAAGTATTCTTAGGGAGTTATACAATTTGTATTTTGAAGACTGTTAAAAGTTAATAGTAATTATAAAATATATATTAGACTTTAGGTAAAATAAGGATTACACATTTGAAGCTGTGAATTTTTTAGGGTTTTACTGAAATGCCTTTCAGCTAAATGATCACATTTATTCTATGTCTTTAAAACTTGGCCAAAAGTAGTCCTAAAATTCTTACCAAAATTGTAACCAGTGAAAAGGAGGCGTATGCGTAGTGCCTTTGGAGCTCGGTTTGCCACGATGTTTACTGGATGTCTTAATTAAATTTGATTAGCTGTGTGCGCAAATTAGTTAGTTTTGCATGGGAACTGATGAGCGTGATGAGTTTGCCGACTAATTGGCTAATTGATTGATTGTTGGAGCTGTTGCATTGCCTCCACTCATGAAACAGGCCGCAGCAGAATGTTTGTTTAATTGCGCTTCAAAATGCACTTGCAAATCGACCAGGACCAAAGTTGGTATTCTTTGTGTGCATATTCACTAATGAAAATAGAATGATAAGCCAGGCTCTCTGGCCTGCAGTCCATCAAAAATGTATTTAGCTCAGTCCATGTACTCTTTCCGGCTGCTGTTGGTTTGTTTGTTTTGTTAGTTTGCTTCTTATTTATTTTTTTTTATTGCTGCCTTAAATATTTTCCGTAACGCAGATTCCTTTGCTGGGGCAGCGCCTGCATAATACATATCGAAATAACCTTGGTCCGAAATTCGCCAAAAGAATAACTGCGCATTGTTTGCAAAGAACAACTTTGCTTTCTGCCTTGGCTCCTTGGCATGGTTAGTTGTTGTTGGTTGTCAGAGTTTCCCGGGGGATGGATGAATGGAAGGGGTGCCGGGATGCAAGGATGCTGGGATGCTAGGATGTCGGGGTTCCCAAGCTGCCAGGATAGAGGTTTCTCCCCCAATCGAGTGCTAAAGTTTTCACTGCTCGCAGAAAATTTCCACTTTAGTTGCTGTTGTGTAGTAAATTTTTGTTCTCGCTTTTTGTTTCTTTATTTTTTTTTTCGCCTGCATTTTCAGCCCGAAGAACCCCACCCATTGCATATTTCCTCGAGATTTCCCTGGCTTTCCATACCCCTCCCACCCCCACCCTCGGACGCGTGCTTATTTCAAGTAGTTGAAATTATTTTATAGTATAAAACTTTAGTTTTTTAACTTTGCCTGGTTGGTGAGCAAGTTGTGTTTTTGTTCTGTTTCTGTTGTGTTTTGCCGGGCGAAAGCCCTTCGTCCATTTGGCGTCCGCACGCGCTTTTTTGTTTTTAGCATATTTATATTTTAATAAGCGTTCTGGCAGCTGCGCTCCAGCGCCTGCCGCACGGCGATACCCTCTCGATGCCCTGCGTAATTTTCCAGCAATTTCTGACAGTTTTAGAAATCTTCGCGAGCAGGACTTATGAACCTAAAATGCGCCTGTCAGTGCCAAGTGGCTGGCAGGCGGGCAACGTGGCGTATGATTGTTATTAATTTCATATTATGTGTAAGCACCACGGTCTGCTGCTGCTGCTGCTGCTATCCTTTGTTGCAATAAGCAATAAGCGTCAGCCGGAATGATATTTAATGTCAGGAGGCTGAAATGGAGAAAACGAGGCAGCGGAAGGATGAAACAAAGGATCGGGAACGATGATGACTTCGAGGTGCAGTTCAAGTGGCTCCTTGAAGCATGAAAGTGTTGAGATTGCCACAAGTGTTTGAGCATCCCATTTGCATAAAGTGCGGTTAATCTCGGGAATGTCGAACGGCGGGAAATGCTGAAATTAATAATGCACAGGAAAAATAAATGAAAGTATATTGCTTTTGAAGTGGAAAAGAGAAGAAGGAAATTAAAGAAAAGCTTAAATATATATATATATATATGGTAGGTTGCAGTGGTGAGGCCCATTGCTGGGGCCTCCAATTAGAGCTAAGCTCCTTTTTGCTCCACTCCCTCTGTTTGTTGTTGATTATACACTATCAGTACCATCCGGAGTCAGCCAGGAAACCTAGGATTGCCGAAACTTTCAGCTTTCCTATGCTTCTCAGTGACTCCGCGAAATCTGATGTGGTTTAGCGCTGGGCAGAAGCATAGCAGATGTTCCGGTGTCTCTTGCTCTGTAGGTTGCTTACAGCTTCTACAGATTGCGTTGTGTGGCAGTCCCAGCTTCATTGCGTGCGAACCGATCGCCCAATGTCCCGTGGTGAGTGCCGTGAACCTGCTGATATCCCGCTTGCTGTTGGATAGCAGTTCCCTGGTTCGTTTTTCGTCGTACCTCGGCCAGCATTCCCTTGACCTTCTGTGATCACTCTTTCTTTGCCATTCTTTATTGGCTATCTGCCTAAAGTGGTCATGGATCCTCGTCTGGATCGCGTTTAGGGAGATCGGTAATTCGAAGTCAGAACTTAGCCCTGCCGAGCCTGCACGGGCTAGTTCGTCCACCTTCTCATTTCCTGGGATCTCGTTGTGTCCCGGTACCCAAGTTACTTGTACCTTATTTTTGTCGGCAAGTCTATTAAGGGCCTTCTTGCATTCTGCCACATATATATATATATATATATATTTTTATACCCTTGCAGGGTATTTTAAGTTCAGTCAGAAGTTTGCAACGCACTGAAGGAGGCACCTCCGACCATATAAAGTATATATATTCTTGATCAGGATCAACAGCCGAGTCGATCTAGCCATGTCCGTCTGTCCGTCTGTCCTTCTGTCCTTCTGTCCTTCTGTCCGTCTGTCCGTCTGTCCGTCTGTCCGTCTGTCCGTCTGTCCGTTTCTACGCAAACTAGTCTCTCAGTTTTGAAGCTATCTGAATGAAACTTTGCAGTTAGCCTTCTATATACTCGTATATATCCCTCGTATATATGTCGGAACGGGCCGGATCGGACGACTATATCATATAGGTGCCATAGGAATGATCGGATAATTTTTACAAAAAAAAACTATAACAATTTCAGTTTTCAAAAGAATTTGATAAAATTTGAGATATAGCCATTTGACTATACTCTACAATTTTGTGTAAAATTTTATGAAAATCGGACAACTATATCATATAGCTCCCATAGGAACGATCGAGAAATTAAAACAATTAAAAATTATAACATTTTCAGTTTTCAACAGATTTTCATCAAATTTGAGGTATAGCCATTTTATATCAGTCTTAAATTTTGTGTAAAATTTTATGAAAATCGGACGACTATATCATATAGGTGCCATAAAAACGATCGTTAGATGTGGAGAAAAATGCACATCTGTGACTGTAAAACTGCAAAATAATATGTAAAGGTGAATGAAATGAAAGCAGTTATTACTTCATTGCTTTTTAACACAAATAAATATAATATATATTGTTGGGATTCCAAGTCATAGAAGTTCTATCTGCAAGGGTATATAAACTTCGGCGTGCCGAAATTAGCTTCCTTTCTTATTAATATATTAATATTATATAAAATAATATAATAATTATAATATTGTAA